TAGTCAAAATATCAAATGGCCTGAACGACAACAAAAGGCAAAAATGGCTTGCTTTTGGGAAATTTTATGAATGAAAAACGTCGTTGCGATCGAACGTGAAGAGAATTGGTAAAATGAAAACGAGGACTATGGAGGTTGATGATGGCTAAAAAATTATCAAATTACCGTTGCTTTCTCCTGAGTTAAAAAAATTATCCAATCAGCAAAAGGGAGAAAAATATAAAATGAGTGTATAATTGTCAATTTTTCAACAGAAGAAAAAAAAAAAGACGGTTTATAGTAGATAAACCTAATGTAATTTAGCCGATTATTAAAAATCTTGAAAATTTAAGAATCTAACTGTAAGCGCCAATTATAATATTGGTATTTACTTGATCGATGGCATTGAATCCTTCAACGTCATCCAAAATCGGATCGTGCAGGCTACCTTTCACGCTTTGATCACGGCTCTTTTGAGCATCGTTCAACTTTTTCTCCGACTCCTCGTTGCAGAAGTATTGCGTGCAACCATTCTTCAGGTACTGAAAATCGTCCGGTTTCGTAATACCGAGTTTCGCACGTAGTTCCGGAGGAGCTCCAGCACACATCATGTAGAAAACATGATAGTTCCTCTCGTCGGGACTCTGAAGGCACACCCTCGACTTTTCCAAGAGATAATGGGAAATGTAGCCGCCGACTACTTGACACTTCGAGTCGAAATGAACCTCCATGAATTTGCCAAAGCGAGAGCTATTGTTGTTCCGTTTAGTCTTCGCATTGCCAAAGGCTTCCAACACCGGGTTTGCTAATTGTAAGAGCATACACAGTAATGTAATTGTTATCTATCGCGTTTTAATTGTAATATATAGCTTCCATGTTGTAGAATGTACCGTCTAAAATCTTCTGTTCGATCGGGCCAGCCGTCGACCCCCATAGGTCGCATAGATATCGAAGCAGATACTTGGTAGATTCAGTCTTGCCCGCGCCCGACTCGCCAGAAACGATGATACTTTGCGATTGCTTCAGTACTTTCATATCTCTGAACGCTTTATCAGCTGATGAAGAAGAAAGAAATTGTTTAATTGATTACTGAAACATCTGATAATAACGATAAGAAGAAAGAAATTGTTTAATTGATTACTGAAACATCTGATAATAACGATAATTATAAACAGTAATATACGTACCAATAGCAAAAACATGAGGTGGCGTCTCACCCAGAGATTTCCCCTTATAAGCCTTGATCGTTTCAGGAGAATAAAGATCTCTGATCTCACAGTATGGATTTAAAGCGATTAAGATATTGGCAACGTACGTCTGTAAATTCATGATAATAAGAAAAAAAAAAAATAACCAGTAGCAGATTTAGTCTAAGATCCAAGTCTAAGATCTTTTGAAGATTGTATTGCTCGTGCAAAACGCATTTGTCCCATATTTCACAGAGCTATTTAGGAACGTGATCTGCCAATTGTTTCGAACAGTGCACCGCAATTTGCCAGCAATTACTCACGTATATCCTATCCTTGAAGTAACGAGTCCGTACGTTGTTCAGCAGCGTGGCCTCGTTCAGGTACATCAGAGCGCCTGGGAACACGAGAAACAGAGCGAACCAGTGAAGGTAGATTTCGAAAGGCGAGAAAAAAAGAGAGTCACCTGCACAAGGATTTAAAGACTTCCGTTCCTGACAGGAACGCCTGCGAGTCACGTTCCCCTTTTACATCGTGAATATCGTGAAACACGTTTCATTATTATCTAGATCCCATGTACAATTAAGAAACCCGACAACACCGTGGTACAACCATGTTTTCGATTAAAAAGAAAAAAAAAAAAAAGAGATAGAATCATAGAAATAAATATTCGTGATAATTATTCAAAGAATTCAATTCGACTGTTCGAACTAATTGTAAGAAGGGCCGATCGCCTGGGGGTGAAAGGTGAAATTTGTAGAGGTGCAATTACAATTGTCTTCAACGTCTTTGGTGTATTCCCCAGCTGGATAAACTTCGTCCAGCGGACAGGTGCGTTGTAGATATTTCGGATCCAGCGGCACGATTAGCGCATCCCCGTCAACCATGTCCATGAACTTGCCGATTATGAAACCCTCTTGAGGGTCTCGCACCCACACCTGCTGATTCTCCATATTGGTCTACGCTCTGAAACGACAACGACATATGAAGTAAATGCGTTAATTTAGGCCTGCGAAGGATTACATATGCAATAATTATAGTGACAAAAAAAAAAAGATAGAACTTTTATGGAAAATTGTTTTATCACACACAAGTATAAAAAGTACCTTGGATAGTAATACTTCATATACTTTTTCATATTATGAAATATTACGCATTGACACGATTTGAAAATTCATGAAAACTCAGATTAATTAACAAGAAGTTCATTTATAATATTCTTTCAAGACAATGTAATTTGTTCCGGGCCTGAACGGCGAGATGTACGAACGTCGATCGAAAATCGCGAGAACAACAAAGTAGAAAAATACCTTCAAGCTCTAATTACGGCCCGGTTTATCACTTAAAAAGGACGAAAGTGAAATTTACAGCTTCGCCTCATAAACAATGGACAATCGTGAGCCTTTTAACTGTTACTTAGAGAGAACGATATATCTTCTTTTCTGCTAACATCAATCTCGTAGACTCGAGTTTTTAAGTGTAACGAATTAATTACACGGTGGAAGTAACAACAGGCACATTTGAACCAGTGCACGTCACTCAACTCGATCTCGCATCGAGCTGTAACTCTACGTAGAGACTTACTATACCGAGAAAAGAAGAGAGAGAAAGAGAGAGAGAAAGAGAGAGAGA